AGGTACAGACTCGTGTTTTAATATTACAAGAATGCAAGCAAACTTATTAGGAATGCTCAGCACCTTCTTTTTACTAAATTCAAACTGGTGATGAATACTATAATTGCTCAACTCTTTAGGAAGTTTCAGTTTCATAATGTTTCAGTCAATTTTTTTTGAAGTCAGCGGATTATTATGAAGACTAACTGGTTTAAATTAGTAGCACTCATATCTGGTTGGTGTTTCTAATTCAGATATAATTGACAATTGGGAGTTCTCATCTTTTTTCTTTTACAAAAAAAGAAATATAGTTCCAGGAGAAGTACGTAGACATAAATAGAAAACGGAAAGGTGAAGAGAGGTTTTGCTTTCATGATGGTGATTTGTGGATGGAAATGCATCTGATAATGCAAGACCCAATATCTTTTAGAAAGTTAGAAACTGCTTAACCAATGAATATGACATGGAAACTAAAAATATCATGTGTAGTTCCAGAAATAAGTGCTTTTGATGTTAGAGTATGCCTTCAGCAGTTTGAAGTGGTATCTCCACAGATGCTAATGCGAGTAATCTAAAAAACTCCCACTTCACTTTTGATGTTTTGAGAAGTGGCTAACGTACTTCCTTTTCCGTGTTTTGAGTTCCCGCTGGTGTATCCAAAATTTCCAAAAGTAGGGTCACTGTCATTCAAGTCATCTGCTGGTTGTATTTGGAATTTACTCTTTATCCCAATTTACAGGGTATGGTTGCACTTGGTGTTGCAACTCTCGATTCAGTAACAAATGCAGTTGCAACTTCGTTACCGTTCTCTCCCTCCAGACCATCTTCAATGACTGATGAAGATATTACTAATCTTAGAAATTTGCAACGTCTATTACTGTTGATATCAGGACTACGAGAAAACGAGAACCCCAGCATGGTAAGAGAATCTTGCTAATAAAAATGAATGCATATAAAACCTCCATGATGTTAATTGCTCCTCCATTATGGAAAAATATCTGTAGAAAGTGTTGATACGGATTTGCATGCACGTTAATGTTTACACTGTTTTCCACTTCTGATATTAGAGAGAGACTATCCACAGTTTACTCCCATAACATGCATGTATTCTCGAAGAAAAAACATTCAGATACATGAACAACTAAGATATTGGAGCTTAGAGACACCAGAGAAAGCATCAGTTTAATAATTAGAATCCTGTATCTTATTACATTAGCTTGTTATCACATATCTTACATGTCTTTCAGAATGCCATAATTTCTTTGCATATATTTATGTGGCCCCTTAAATACCAATTGCTTGCCTTGCTTAGTATAATGACAACACTCTTTGCGTCTTACTTAGCTGCTGAAAATCATATTTATTTCTTGATGCATGCTAGAATATATATGGACAGATTTTCCTTGCCAGCTGAGAATTTCACTTCACATTATCACCAATACCCTTCGGGGTGGCCCAGTGGTTTGGACTTGGGACTTCCATGTTGGAGGTCTCAAGTTCGAAACCCCTTGCCAGCGAAAGCAAGGGGTTTGTTTGCCTTCTGGGTCGAGCTTGTCGCACGGGGCTTGCCTAGTCCGGGTTACCTCTCCTATGTGGTTTGCGAACTATTGCATAGAAGCGGGGTTTTATCCTGTGAGCACCCAAAGGGCAGCAGCTGTGAGTTGTCATAAAAAAAAAAAATTATCACCAATTCTGGTCTCCAAGCTTCTAGGCTAGTTACTTATTCTGTAAATGGATAATCTCCCAGTTACTGAATTGTTATGTTATCTATAATCCCTGTGCATCTGTAATACTTGGTTTAACTATGGATACCCCATTATTGATCATTAATTCATTGCCAAATTGATGCTTATTGTTATTGCACAATTACTTGATATGTTAGTAAATTGTGGACTCTTAATTTATTCTTTGTAGAAGGTTAATGGAGTTAGAACATCCAACAAGCAGATGATATCTTTGAATGGAACACCTGTAGCCCTTCAGCAATTTGAAGCTGTCCAAGAATATCTACCCCTCCTTTCAGTTCTACCTGAGGTAAAGCTCAAGAGATTTATTATCTCCCCAATTTTATAACTGGTCGCATCTCTATGATAACAGACAACGTGAGAATTTGAATCCAGTCTTTTGGATGGTGTTTATTGCTAAAAAGATGTCATATGGGCTTAACTGCATAAGTATGCCTGATGATCAGAAAATTGCGCACACAGCACACCCCCTTTTTTACCTCCCTTGCACTAAAACATTATTTTTCCCACCTGTTACTTAAGGAAGCTGTACAAGTCTATTTGAGTGTATGATTGCTCTCAGAGAGAAGATGCGTAAAGAGAAACTCTATAAGGGTGATTATTCCATTTTGATGGCTTATATTTTCAACTTTGTCTTCTCATTACTACATTAAATCAGCATTGAGACGCACTTCTACATAACTAAAAATAGATGCGCTTTATATTTTGCAGCTTCCACAAGAGATGCAACTACAGTTACTTCGCTTGCCTGCTGATTTCGCTGGTAAGCTGGCTTCCCGAGTCGCTGCAAGGACGTTAAAGAGGGTATTCTTGTGAAATATCTCCGATTACCATGGAAAAAGCAAGATATTCTATATTGGTCCTCCTCAAAGAACTTTTTGGTTTGTGGGGTTTTGCAATTATCTAATCAAGCTTGCCAATCCTAAATGAAGAGATCTTGGTTGATTTTATCTTAAAAGGCGGAGAAGATCAGTTCCTAAAACTATGCAGTTGCAAGAAATGTACAAGTCTAAAAATACATAGGTAGTACAAAATATAGTATATATATAGCAAAATGTTGTAATTCTCCTATTACAATACACTACTAAAAAAAATATTCTTGTACCATTTAAAGTCAAGTGTACAAAATTTGCTACACCATTTAATGTAAAAAACCGTGAATGAGCATAGAATCTTGGTTACTCAATGTAAGTCTTTCTAATAGAAATTCTTCTTTTTATTCAAATTTTTGCAACATAAAGGTGTTGGTTGAACTAGCTGAAACGCGCCATTTGCCTGGCTGGGGAAGGGAAGAGACCGTCACCGCCTTCCCCAAGGAATAAAGCGTTGGACTGGCTGATTACTTTGCTTGATGATGCATACACTGAGGCCGATGGTGTTGGCCGGACGTCTGTTACTAGATATTTGATGAAAACACCATACACAGGGAGAAAATTAGGAGTAGCGTTTAAGTGGACAGAAATGGTAGTTGTCTTTCTTTTTAGTTTATTCACAACGACACACATTATGATCCCACCCGTGGAGTCTAAGAAAGGTAGAACGTAAACAGACCTTACTCTATCTTTGCAGGATAGATAGTTATTTCCAATAGACCCTCAACTTGAAAGAACTTTTTTATTTCCAGGATATAAACGGAGTAGATCCAACGTCAATTGCCATTTGGCAAATGCGATACTATATTTGTGTAATGCTCAACAGGCCAATTTCGTCCATCACCAGGGAAATCTACATAAAGCATACAATGTAACATGAAACACAAATTTCTGACTGGACACTCTTGGATTTTGTCGTACTAATCTTAATTCAAGAAACTTTACCATAAGAAATTGAACTTTCCAAATTTTTTTTGAATTAAAAACAGGTCAAAAATCAAATTTATATTTGCGCAGTCCAATTACGTCTTTGAGAAACTAGAAATTACTTAAAAGAGTAATGTAGTTTGAAGGTCGGCAACTTATTAGTCCATGCTATGGTCATACAAAACTTGCATCAACAAATGGTACTCCCTCCGTTTTAATTTGTTTTGTTTGTCTATTTTGACATGGCACAAAATTTAAGTAAAAAAAAAAATGGATCTTGTAGTCTTAAATAAAAAATACATCACATATACCAAAAAAATATTTAATTTTGTGATCTTAAACATGTTATGTGAAAAGTTGAAATTAAAGAATGGCTAAAAAAGAAAAGATGGATTCTTTTTTAAATAGGCCGCAAAGAAAAGTAATACAAACAAATTAAAATCGAGATCAAGGGAGTACTACATAATCATCTGCAACTTATTTGTCTTTTAAGACATTTTCGTAGACATAAAGATGGAGAATCATTGCATATTCTTTGATACCCCCAACCCCAGCGACTCAAATATTCCAACTACAACTAAACAATTCGGGCAATGCGATATGAAGTCCATTGACCCAACCAAATGTAATCTATGCCTCCATAGCAAAGCCAGGAATTTTACGAAGGATGTCAAGAAATTGCATAACAACTAGTAAGATTCAAACATGCAAGCGCTACCTCATTTGAGGTAGTCTGAAACCACTAGGCTATAACAACTTATTAGGTTAAGGGTGGTCAAAGTATGTTATTTAATCACTCCGCGTATCATTTTACTTGTATATATGATACCTTTTTTCGACTAAGAGTGTCCAATTTGGACACCCTAAGAACCAAGTAGCTCCGCCAATGCTGTGCCTGCTATATGTAAATCTCTCCCTCAACAAGAGGTAGAAGCTCGGATGGTGAGGATCCCCACCTTCAACCCTAAAGTTGTAGGTTTCGAATCACTAAGGAGCAAAAAGGAAAAAGGATAGAAGCACGGGATGGGTAATATAAGCCTGCTAAACCAGGGGAATTTACCCAAGCAAGTTTATAAAGTGGAAAGGCGTGTATTTCCCACGAATATAAGCTTTTACATATAATATCAGAACAAGTAAACATCAATGATAAACAAAAAAATCAATTTCTTCCACGAGACAGTAGCTCGATCATGAGATATTCTAACCAAAATAGATAAGCACCAAATAATACTAGAGTCTATTTTACGACGAATCATGAGTTAAAACCATAATAAACAAAGATAAACTAGAGATATATGTCAAGTTTTATGATGCGTCGCACCACTTATTATGCATAGTTTTCTTAATATTTTGACGTCTTTGTTTCAGGAGTTTCTTTGGTCTGGGGCCAGGGCGGAAGGGAGCGTAAGGGGAGGAGAATTGAGATAAATCATACATCAAGTATGATCTCCAATTATTTGTAAGATACATGCTCAGCTTTCCATTGATTCTGGCAAGAAGCCAGATGATAAATAGCAAAAGAAAACTCTACACATGTTTATGAGGATATCTATGTCCCCACGATTTTAGCAGAAGTTCCTATTAGCACCCATAAGAATGCACAAAGTACTCCAAGTAAAGAAATACAACATAATCCATATTTGGCTTTGCCAGAACTACTTGAAGTTGCAGAGGTATTACCTGCAGCAACATTCATGTTCCCGACATTTAATTTCATTCTACTAAAGCTAGACATACGCTCAAAGGCCCTGTTAACTACTAGAGCACTTTCAGCAGCTGAAGCAGGAGTTGTGGGTATAGAATCCACGAAAGCCCACAAATTAGAGGAGAACCACGACTGCGTACCATCATCCTTTTTGGCTAGATTTTGATTAGCGCCCATAGGATAATTTGCCATATTATTATCATTTACCACACCTAAACATTGCCAAAACTTGCTAAAGTTAGAAATAAAATCTAACACCAATATTAACAGCAGAAGAGCTCTTGAAGCTTGGCTCAAACTCCCCCATTTCCACTTGGGCAAAAGAGTTCTTGCCATACTGAAGATGACATGGTTATTCAATACCATCCATCTGTTCAAGAGCTCCAGCAAGTCAGATAACATAGAACAATGTGTTTATACAAATCTGAGAAGTATGATAATATTATGGCATTAGCCAAGCAAAACTAGCAGCATTGCTATATGGAATTCTTTGAATACCTGAAGATGCTTGATCAACAACTGATTGATCTTCTTCAATGGGGTTGAAGCTGCCGAATCTTTCATCATGCATCCAGAATTGATTGTTTATCTGATTTTCATGATTCAAGCACATCTGCTGGTTGTTCATCATGTCATTCTGGAAAGTGCTCATGTATGTAGTGGAATCAGGGTATGTAATCCCGTTCACAAAGTTGTTCATGTATGGTTCAGCAATTTGCCCCACTGTTGGTGTCCCCACATTATCAAGACGTGAAGGTGCATCATGATACAGGTCGAACTCTGATAAGCCATCAAAGTCATCAAACTGCAGAGTCTCCAGGTTTCCAGCAGGTTTGTCAAAGACTTGACCATTTGGTGTTTCATGATCAAAGTTTTGAACATTTGGTTCGGCAACAAGGAGGTCATCCATCTCCAAAAAATCTTCCAAGAAATCCTCTTCCACCACATATGGGGGATTTACAGGATTCACTGGAGCAGATGAGACCTCTGGTGCCTCGTACAAATGTAATGGTGATGTGCCTGACTCTGTCAGGTCAAAGCTTGCCCTCGCATCATACTGCTGGCAGCTTGGCCCAGCGACAGCACAATGATTGTATAAATCAACTTCCCTCGAAGACTGATTTAGCAAGGTACTTTCAGTATCTTCCTCTTGAACAAACTGCTCCAATGCAAAATTGTTATCAACAGTAAAAGGACGCTTCAGCAATTCCTCAATTGCGTCATCAGGAGCAGGAACTACATTAATGTTCTTTGCAGAACTCTCCTGATGTCTCGGGATCTCCGGCTGAACAGAGACTTTGGCATTTAGGCACTCATCATCAACCCAGTCCTCTTCTCTAAAAGGTGCACCATATTGCTCACCATTCTTGGGGCCAGGCCCACTCTTCTTGAAGACCTTGTAGAGTGCATAGTAGTCCTGTGCATTTTGGCATCTCTTCAGCTCTTCTTCATCCATGGTGTATTCATGCATCACCCAATCTGTCCGTTCACCTACTGGCGCTCGCCCTTTATAAAAGACCAGCGTCTTCTTCACTCCAACAGCACGAGAGTTGCATGTAATAATACGATCTTTTCCAGTAGCTTTCCAATACCCGTGCTTTGATGCTCTGTTTGACCGTGCTCCATTGGGATATTTTCGATCTCTGGGACTAAAGAAGAACCACTGCCTATCCCCAGTTTTTAACTTAGACAAATCTGCAATTCAAATTCGCAAAAGAATTAGATAAATCTGCAATTCCAATTCGTAAAAGAAACAGTCAGTTAAGAATAGAAAAAATTCAAACATGGTCATAAGTCTATCAACCCAAAGTATGACTATCAATCAGCACCAATTAACATCAGACACTAGAAGAGAATAACATATAATTTGACATCTCAAGTCAGGAAGCAGGTCAATAGAGCAAAAGGTTATCAAACAAACAGAAACAGGAGGAATTTAGAATGCAAAAGCTATACATGCAGTGGCGGATCTATGAAGGGTTGTGGGGGTGCCACGCCCCCCCGAACTTCGACGGAAACTCTATGTATACATAGGTATATATATATATAATATTTATATAAATATAAAGCGTGTCACCCACAGAACAAATTAGGCTTGTGGTGCCACGGTAGGAGGGCAACTTTAGAAGGTTGAGGTTGCGGGTTCGAATCCCATTTGGCACCCACGGACTCTAAATCCTGGATGGCAACAAGGAGGTCATCCATCTCCAAAAAATCTTCCAAGAAATCCTCTTCCACCACATATGGGGGATTTACAGGATTCACTGGAGCAGATGAGACCTCTGGTGCCTCGTACAAATGTAATGGTGATGTGCCTGACTCTGTCAGGTCAAAGCTTGCCCTCGCATCATACTGCTGGCAGCTTGGCCCAGCGACAGCACAATGATTGTATAAATCAACTTCCCTCGAAGACTGATTTAGCAAGGTACTTTCAGTATCTTCCTCTTGAACAAACTGCTCCAATGCAAAATTGTTATCAACAGTAAAAGGACGCTTCAGCAATTCCTCAATTGCGTCATCAGGAGCAGGAACTACATTAATGTTCTTTGCAGAACTCTCCTGATGTCTCGGGATCTCCGGCTGAACAGAGACTTTGGCATTTAGGCACTCATCATCAACCCAGTCCTCTTCTCTAAAAGGTGCACCATATTGCTCACCATTCTTGGGGCCAGGCCCACTCTTCTTGAAGACCTTGTAGAGTGCATAGTAGTCCTGTGCATTTTGGCATCTCTTCAGCTCTTCTTCATCCATGGTGTATTCATGCATCACCCAATCTGTCCGTTCACCTACTGGCGCTCGCCCTTTATAAAAGACCAGCGTCTTCTTCACTCCAACAGCACGAGAGTTGCATGTAATAATACGATCTTTTCCAGTAGCTTTCCAATACCCGTGCTTTGATGCTCTGTTTGACCGTGCTCCATTGGGATATTTTCGATCTCTGGGACTAAAGAAGAACCACTGCCTATCCCCAGTTTTTAACTTAGACAAATCTGCAATTCAAATTCGCAAAAGAATTAGATAAATCTGCAATTCCAATTCGTAAAAGAAACAGTCAGTTAAGAATAGAAAAAATTCAAACATGGTCATAAGTCTATCAACCCAAAGTATGACTATCAATCAGCACCAATTAACATCAGACACTAGAAGAGAATAACATATAATTTGACATCTCAAGTCAGGAAGCAGGTCAATAGAGCAAAAGGTTATCAAACAAACAGAAACAGGAGGAATTTAGAATGCAAAAGCTATACATGCAGTGGCGGATCTATGAAGGGTTGTGGGGGTGCCACGCCCCCCCGAACTTCGACGGAAACTCTATGTATACATAGGTATATATATATATAATATTTATATAAATATAAAGCGTGTCACCCACAGAACAAATTAGGCTTGTGGTGCCACGGTAGGAGGGCAACTTTAGAAGGTTGAGGTTGCGGGTTCGAATCCCATTTGGCACCCACGGACTCTAAATCCTGGATCCGCCACTGTATACATGGAACATGATCATTTCTATTGAAGAATCATAAACACACTTAGATGCATGTTAAGTGCTGATAATGATAATTCCTCTCTGATCTTTCATAAATAAACTACCAAGAGCTTAAATATGTCTTGGAGATCTCCACACAAACTTCAATCACAATATACACAAAAACATGTAAGACTTAAAATAGAACCTAGATACCCCACACGCCCACCAAAACAAAAAAACTCAGCTACAGTAGCAGAAAAGCTTCGGAAACTCAGAACTATGCCAAAAGCACATTTTGTGATGAAACTTATTCCCCCAAATAAATATCTATCAAATAAACACAAAAATCACAATAACCTAACAAGACACTAGGAAATTCCACTATACAACAAGTTTACTTCCACATCCTAGAGCCACCACACTATGTTTCTTCTAAATATATACTAATATTTAAGAAAGCACATATGATCCATCCATCGACTAGTACACGCCTTTATCCACACAGAAAATCCAATAAAGCAAAATGGTAACTTTCAAGCCAAACAACAAAGTCAACACACAAAAACTCCAGAAAAAAAACAAACAGCAACCAGATAAATCACAATCCTCAAAAGTAAAATCACAAAACTCAAAAACACTACCAAAAAAACACTTCACATACCAAAACCCTCCAAAAACCCAGCTACCCAGATGATCAAATCAAGTCAACGACACAAAAAACACATCAAAATCTCATTTTTTGTAAAAAAAAAAATAACAAAATCCAAGAATTCATACCAGGCAAATCCTCTGGCTCCCACTTGTACACATCAGTCTCTGCAATCGCATCAAGCAAAATCCGGCGCCTACAGATCTTCCTCTTCAAGTAGTACAGAACAAGCTCCTCATCTGTCGGATGAAACCTAAACCCAGGTGGGAAAACGCTATTTTCTCCAAAACACTCCGATACCTTCATCTCTTTACATGGCGATGATGATGATGGTGCTGATGAATCCATCAAAAGCTTCATCTTTCTTCACAACCACAAAACAATCTCAACACCCACTTCAAAAATCAATAGAATATCCCCTTAATCAATGAATCTGAAGCTGTAATTATAGAAAAAATTGAAACCCTAGCAGACAAAATTGAGAAGGGGCAACTCTAAGAATTGGGGAGAATTTAGAGAAGGACCCTAAGAGTCAAATAAGCAATTGCCAAGAGAAAAAGGGAAGAAATACCCCCGCGGTTTTGTGGGGTAGAGTGGTGACGAGGGGGTGGGGTGAAGGATCAGAATCTGGTGTGATTAAGCTCAGTGAGTTATGAGTGGGGGTTCTTGGATTGGTATTATTATTAAGGTTTAAGAAAAGGTTCAAATATTGTTATTGAACCTTTGTGAAAGGGTTCAAATTTGGTTGTGAAATGCTCTAAATTTATAATTGAACTTTCAAAAAAAGGGTCATTACTTGGTAATATTTTTTTCTTCAATATTCAAAACCTCCAAGGATAATATCTCTAATCTTAAATCTTAAATCATCTCAAATAAAATTTAAATAAAGAATAAATATACTAGCAAATTAATTTTCATCTCTATCAAATTTCGTCGATACAATTTTAGCTTTTAAATCATTTACATCAATATTGTGGCAATCAAGATAAAGTTACATTGATTGAGGTGATCTTATGTTAAAGATTAAAAAAAAAGTGACGAGGATAGTGATAAAAATGAAGGTATGAAAAAATTGTCTAAATATAGTGATTTTTGTGTGAAATATTTGAGTATTCTTTATAAGAGTGTCATTAGGGTGAAGTAGTGGTGGAGTGATCATGGTCGAGAGTAGAGAGAACTATTGTTATGGCAATTGATAGATTCAACGTGATGATGTAGGGTGATTATGAAAAATGAAATTTGTATAATTTCGTAAAGTTTAAGAATAATTTTAAACCATTTCACTTGGTTCAAAGGTGAATTTGATATTTTTTTCTCTTTCATAAAAGGTTTTACGTGTTGAAAAGCTTCTATTATTAGTAAATAAGGGTATAATTGAACTAATATTATAGCGGTAAGGACATATTTGTTATGAAGCAAGTACTAATAGATACTGATAACAATAACTTTGCAGAAACATAAACAACAAAATTTAAAGCATGTACTCAACAATAAAAATTAATAACATAAGCAAAATTTAAAGTTGTATTACTCAACAACAAAAATTAATAACATAAGTAGAAATTAATGACCGTAAAAACATATAAGAAAATTGAGATCATTGAATGCACAGTGTCCCCTTAAGAAAATTATTCCCCGAGTCCATTGAATGCACGGTGTCCTCCCAAGTTTGCAACCTTCCACAAAGGTCATGGTTGTCCCAAAGCCAAAACGACGACGGCACGAGGGATCCTCTTTTCAATCCTTTTAACAACTAATAGAAGTATTTTCGTATTTAAACACTTGAATTTTTCTTTTCACCACCAGTGAGGAAAAATTGCTTTTTACTAAAGCATAAGAGAACACTTTATATTATCTCAATTTCCCATTAACTCTTACTATATACCCAACAATATTTTACCTCAATTATTAACGAACGGTAAAGTTAAATCATTTCACAAAATTTAATGAAATACTTGAATCTTTTCCTTTTAAACTTTTAGAGAATGAAAAATAGCTTTTTTTATAAAGAAAAAAACTGTTTAGTCATGAGAAAATTCTACAAGAAATAGAAAGCAGGTGAGCAGACTGATTTGGAAAATTTGTGATATCTGTGGTGTGAATTCTTATGAACTTTGAAAACTAAAATAAAGTAAAAGGTTGTCTTTTGGGGCAAATTCATGTATCCAATAAGTGTCAATTTTTGCTTTTGTTTTTTTTGGTTCGTCTCACGATGAGGTAACATTATTTATTGACCAAAGTTCATAAATGCCCTTAATTTACTGTCATCATATCGACTCTGGCTAACCCCAATCATAGTTTATACTGATCGTGTCGGGAAGTTTTATATTGGGATAAAACGTCTCCTAACAAAGGTGACTCCGTACTTAAGAGATTCGAATTCAAAACCTCTTGATTAAGAATAAAAGAGTATTTACAACTTCACTACAACCCTTGTTGGTATGTAGTCTATAGACTATCCATCTCAAATTATTTTTGTATTTTCGTTTATTACCTATCTCTTAAAAAAATTACTCCATTAAAGGTAGTTTGATTATTTATTACTACTACTTTTTTACTTTCATTTATATCATTAAAAAAGTATTAATATTTACTCTTTCATATGTCATTTTTTTGTAATTGAGGTACTTTTTCAATTACAATTCTGTTTACTACTAAGGAAAAAGATAATGAATTTTATCTTGAACTTCTAATACTAGAAGTCTAGAAGCATAACAGATAATTTGCAATAGAGGAAGTATATATATTTTTTTATTTATTTTTATATATATAGGGAAAAAAATGCATAAAAACTCTCTACATTAATTTTAATTTCTAAAAGTACATTTAAATTTTGTTTTATGACCACCTTACAAAAAACCACTAATAATAGTTTGAGTACTCAAGAGAGCAGCCCAGTGATTAATGAAATGATTGGAAATTTTACGATTTAAGATTTAAAATTCAACGGAGACAAAAAAAAATACCAGGTGATTAATATTCAAGTGTATTAGGCTTTTACTATCACATTAGGTTCAAGCCAAAAAAATGGTAAATTCGGTTGAAAATGTTTGATGACATTATAGAAATTGTTCTTTAAATAAAATGATTTTTATTTTTTATTATTCAAATGAATTGGGTCTTTAATTTTGTTTTTAGCAAACAAACTTATATTTAATAAACCATGAGTTCAGGGCAAAAGTTATGCTGGCATAATCTATGAAATATCATGATGCAAAAATATATTATATCTTGCAAATAGTTTTTGTATTACAAGACACAAAATTAAAATCAACACAAAAGTAGTGGCAAGCGAAAATGATCTGCATCACTTTAAAAAACAAGTTCTCCAATGCATAAATTTAAATTTAAATTTGTATATTGAATTACAAATAAGAAACAAAAAAATAGTAGTCATAACTACCTACAAGGAAATTGATTTTCGTATATTTATGTAATATAATTTTTTGGTGAAGGAAATTAAATTGAATCTCTTGCCGACACCTAGTTACAACCCCTTGCAGTTCCATTTTTATTTTATGTTTGGCAAATTTGAATGGGTCTACTTTTCATTTCCTATATTCAATTATTTTTATTTTATTAAGTTAAAACAAATTCTCAAAGTTACAAATAAAATATACCAATGAATTGTCTAATTTAAAACCTTGCATTTTAATATGGCTACTATGCATTAAACTTCACAAGTAATCGACCAAGTCTATGAAATAAAATAATTATACTGCGTGGAATATTAGAGAGATAAAAAAAATTGATATATAATTATTTAATCATGAACAATAAGATACTATCTTTTTTATAAAACCAAAGGTAATGATCAACGTTTAATTCATTTGATAAGGCAAATTGAGTGCATAAGAGAAGGAAAATAAAATGAAAAATGACTAGATATTACAACATTATTATCTAATGAAATGTCTCAAAAAGCTATGTCTTGGACCATAAAATATTCTTGAGCAATTTCAAAACATATATAAATAAAAGTAACATAGTCTGGTGCACAAAATATTCTGTATTTATGAAAGATTTGAGAAAAGAGTGTGTTGTACGTAAACATTTTATTCTAATATAAATATTAACAAATTGCTTTCATGGTTAGAATTTGTAACCTATAGATCACACAAAGACAACTTTATTATTCTTCAGGACTCCCCTTCATAAATAAGAACAACAACAAAAAAATTCAAACTAATAAAATAATATGAAGATTTTTAGTCATCAGTGAACAAAAATATCTCCTTATTATCGTGTATATATATTGCATCTGATTATTTATCTTTTTTATTTTCTAAATCTAGAAAAAAATATGATACACGGAAACAACAAATCTATACCAAATTCCTCTTGAATCACTAAAGTCTACTAATTAATCGAGAAAATGAGGAAGATTAAATATTTTTATAAGAATCTAATGGACAACACATCATTACTCCAGTTATAATCACGATTAAGTCAAACTTTATTAATTTAATGAAATACATTTGACACTTTCTTGTTAAAAAATTGTAGTAGATAATTTATGGAAATGGTTTGTCTTTCAAAATATATGGATATAGTTACTTATTACCTACTATTAAGTGAAAGATTCAATATATGCCTAAAATAAAATGGTGAAAAATTACTTATATCCGATATTTATGCTAAATTATACTATATTATTTATAATCAAATAAGATAAGATTAGAATGTGCAGTGATTAACTGCTCCCTCCGTCTCAAAATCTTTTTCATCCTTTTTTAAAATATGTTAATTATTATGTTTCCATTTTACCTTTAATAGTTTTGTTGTTCTCGAAAAATACAAATATCTCAATTATCATTTATGATACATTAATAGAGTAAATATTCAATCAAGAAGATTATACTAATATATAAATAAAAGATAAAATAGGCAAACACCCCTTTTACTTAATATTTTTAAGAGATACGAAAATGAAAAACACGATAAGTATTGTAAGACAAAGTTTAACAATTAAAATATATTTTAGGATATATATATATTAAATTGATATAAATATTAAACACGGATAAGTTTTTACCAAATAAATTGATTAAACCTTGTTATACTTTTCAACCATTCCAAGTTACAATGAACCTTAACCTTGTTATATACATAAAAGTAGTCAAACGACAATATTTAGAGGAAGAAAAATGAGAGACATCAAAATATATGAAGATAAGAGATTCCATCATAGAACAACACTAGTGCATATAAGTTTGGACCACTTTATTCTTACCAAATAAAATGCATAATAAGTATACTTTTCAATTTTAAGTATACACAAACAACAGACACTTAAATTTATATAAAATTGAATCAATAAACACACGTGTCCTATATGACATAATACACGTAGGACACAAAATTGTCTTGTAAGGTGTCATGCAGGATTTGTGCACACCCAAAGTTAAAGGTCATAGTTGTCCGTTGAAGTCAAGTTAAAGATCATGTTTAAGTGTTATGCCGATAAAAAAAAAAGTTGGACCACTTTTTAATTTATTTATTCGTTTAATAAATGTCTAAAATATTTATAAATCAAAATAAGTTAAAATTTTGTGCTGCTTTAAATATTTGTTATTTGATTAAGTATTTTACAATTTTATCTTTAATATCTTTTCTAACTTCTGAAATACTCTTCCTACAACATGTTAACTCCTAATTATTCTTTTTTTTATGTATAAATAAATACTTTTTAAATTTATATTTTTATATGTAACTTTAAGCTGAAAAAGTTTTTATCAACACATTTTTACCAAATACATAAATTATTTACCTGTACTTAATTAGCTGCAATATGTTTTATCCATATATTTATAATACATATTGGTTTAAACACCTAAATAATAAAAATGTACTTAACACTTGATGCTTATTAGCTTACCCAAAACCCAAATGAGTTCTAATTGTAATCATTCATCTTTAAGTAGGTTTTAATTAATCTCATAAAAAGTTCATTCTCTGTATCTTGTCTACAGAGTATAAAATAAACTATCTGAAGGACCAGTTGCTCCCACAATTGTCAAAGTAAGAAGGGAAAAGGGCCTGATATACCCTCAACTTTGTCATTTAGAGTTGATATACCCTCGTTATGAAAGTGGTTCATATATACCCTTACCGTTATACAAGAGTCATTTGTATAACAATAAAAGTTTATATGAGTCACTTTCATAACGAGGGTATATCAGCTCTAAATGACCCTTTCCCAAGTAAGAAATATGGTGTCTGGCTAACTAGCATTCTGTTTCATCTTCCACATCAGGGTGTTGTAGAATGTGTGGCCAGTCATTATTGAAATGCCAGATTTACTTGTACAAACTGGAGTCTATACATCACGGTGCAGTCACCTAAAATGTTTATAGTAATGTATGGTACAAAGTCGAGCCAACAGAATTGAGAATGGATGTAGCAAAGTCACATCCATTCTTGACTTCTATTCCAACAGAAGAATGTATCACAGTAAAGTTCAGCACGCCTAAGAGCAAGGAAGTCTCAACTCCCAATCCCCCAACGTCAGGGTGAGGGGTGAACCCGATCTCATCTATAATATATTGCTGCAGGATGTTGTGGGAGCTTTATCATAATTGTGTAGCACTATAGATGTGGATGATAGTTCTTTCTATTCACCTCCCAATACTCTATACCATAACAGGAACTCAATGGATTTCACACAGTCACGTGCTAGTTTCTTGTAGCCAAGAGACTTAATTTCATGTTCAATGACTCGTGAAATTTTGTCGCCAATAGAATGTGTCATGTGTAAATGCTCAAAATGTCTAAAATTTATAGCAGTACAACGCAAACAATGTAATTTACGTTTGGGAGGTTGTGGAAAGGATCCCTAAATAGAATAGAATTCAAACTATTTTCATTTGAGTAAACCAAAGGGGAATCACAAGAATAAGATAAGAAACTTCATTGGAAAAAGATTCAAAAATCTGAAGCAATTTATATGAAAAAATTAACAAATTATAGAGAAGAGGAGGAAAAGGCGCTATTATTGTTGAGATTCAAAAGATTTAATATCTATGTAGGTTCCTAATCTATTTATATACAAATTGCACGTCCACAAGCATGTATCTCATCTTCATATTTGACAATTTTCTAAATAAGAACTCAAAACTATCTTTGCCAGTACAAAGAGGATGAAGGATGAGCAATCGCACCAGATGGAACAGCATCAACTGCTTGTGAGCCAATGCTCCGGTATAGCTCAGTTGTTGGACCAGTAGCAGCAAGCTGATATGGTGGAGGTATGGTGTTTGACAGCTGTGTAGAGCCTCCCAAGTGTGGTGGAGGCCTATAAAAATCACCAGTTATGATATTTGGCAACCCTGCAGAGCCTTGTGAGTATGGTGGTGGCCTATTAACATCACCAGGTGTGGTGTTTGGCAACCCCATTGAGTTTTGCATGTATGGTGGAGGCCTACTATACGCATCACCGGCTATGGTGTTTGGCCCTTCCAAGTACGATGACGGCCTATAGGCATATCTGTGGGAGGGCAGCCTGTCATACACAGTTGCATCACGAAGAGATCCATCAACTCGACTCAGAACAACATCGGTGCCTGCTGATATACCTGCTCCAGGTACAGCCATGGCCACACCTCCCATAGGTCCTGCCAGCGAGCCAACAATATTTTCATGAATCGAGCCTGCAACAGGTCCATGATATACCGAAGGGCACACAGAATGACCATAAAAGTGTCCAGCCGTTCTATCACCTTCTAACAAGGTATTGCTTCTATCGACATGGTTAACGACTCTCTGTTGTGGCGTCCATGGATTAGGAAAATGTGAGTGTTTCATTTCTTTGTTTTTCAACCACTCAGTTTCATCATTTTTTCTCTTTTGTACCATTCTTTGTTCATCTTTCAGATTCTTCCTGAATTGAGTAATTTCTTTCTCCAAACCTATTACTTTCTCGCCGATTTGCCACTCTGAAAGAAATTTTGAATGATCAATGTTGTTACGTCCCAAACATTGGATGACAGATTTCAAAGTACCCAAGTACCTCCTTTTAGCTCCAATAATCTCTTGAAGAGCTGAATCTTTTGATCCTTTATTTTGTTCAAAAGTCTGAATTTTATTGCATAATGACACTTCAGACTCATGTAGAAATGATGTCAATAGTCTTTGAGGGTTAAATCTATCTTCAAGACCAAAACAAAAGGTAAAATAAACGGCATCAACTACCATATTTTGATTCAGCATCCCTTCTATTATTTCCGGAATCTTTGCCATGAGAACACTTGATCTCCTGACGGAGCTAGAAATCATCTTGATGTAACTTTGGTGCAGCAAATCCTTGATATCCTCATTTCTAAATGCTTGTGGAATCCCGAAACACCCAATAAACAACAACAAACCCCGAGCATCAATTTCCTGAGCTTTTAGTATACCTCCTTCAAAATTCAATCTCCTATACCATGCTAAAGCTGCTTGCCCTGCCTCTTCCTTCTCTCCATTTTCAATCTCAACAGAGCTTCCCTCGCCCTCGCCCTCACCTATCATTCTCAAGAAGCACTCCAAAAGCAATACTAAAGCCCGTCTTTCCGTGATCAAAGGTGAGCCTTCAACATAAGTATTGCTCCCTTGAGTATAAAACATGCCTATAGCTTCCAATATCAGCCTTGCAGGATTAGGCGAGAGTTTCAATGCCTTGGGGACTTTTTGTTGCAGCGTCTTTAAACATGAGAGACGCCTTATCATGTACTTCCGCAGACCATGACTATTCATTGTTTCGCAGAGGATTTTCACCTCTGAACTAGAACGAGGAGAGGATGATTTCAGCTCTATACGAAACGATTTCGGCTCCGGACGAGGAGGGGATTTCAGCTCTATACGAAACAATTCCGGCTCTGGACGATGAGGGGATTTCAGTTGTTGTTTCTCTTCCTCTCCTTCTTTTGACGATTTAGGTTGTGAACGAGGAGGAGATTTCAATTGTTGCTCCTCTTCCTCTTCTTCTTCTTCTTCTTCTTCTTCCTCCTCCTCTTCCTCTTCCTCTTCCTCTTCCTCTTCGGAGGGGTCAGATGGTTCTGCGGCTGGGGCTGGTGCTGGGAGTGCAGGTGCTGACGGAGTTGTATTATTTGGGAGCGATAGAAGTAGCACAGAGGAGTCGATTGAGGTACGAATGGTATCAATGTGTCTGTGTAGCTCACCTAAGCATCGTTGGAATGCCGAGAGACCGTCGGAGAGTTTGCAGAGATTGGCATTGATCAATTCCTGAGAATATGTTGGAGATTGTTGTAATTCCGACTGTTTCTGCTGCCACGAAGAGTTTCCTGTTTGATGTTTCTGTTCTGCTCGGAGTAATTGCTTGGCCAATGATGGAGTAGCCCTGGCGCCGGCGCCGGCGCTGTAATCCGCCGGTTTATCCATGGCATTAATTGGAGTATGAGAAAAAAAGGATCGAAGCCCTAAACGGAGGAAATGTATGAACCTGTTAAACTGTTATATTTTCAGGCTAAATATATGTTTCTCATTAAATTTGACATGATTTGCCTTAATTTTAACAGATGATCAAATGAAGTCACATGTGAAGGTAAAAATATCAATTACGATTACATAAATATAATTAACATATAGTAATATTTATGATTATAATTTGCCATGGAAAATCTCAATAATGATGCTAAACGCTTTTATTTAGGTAGAAGAGCGAAGAAAAAATCATGGAATCAATTTGCTACGGCCAATTAAATTCATTAATTAACAAGTTTATTCAATTTCACCGTTTTAAATTTATAGTGAAAATTGAGAAATTGACTATAGAAATTCTTACTATTTCTATCGTTTTATTCGAGCTAGTGTCAGTACGATATATATAAATTTTAAACTTGTAGACAAATTTGTCATTTTCTTATGATTTCAAATTTTAAATTCAATAAACAAGTGGATTATTTAATTTTTGCTTTTAATATTAGACCGATTATATCAGCATATTGATTTATATATATTACTATATAAGAAGAGGGAATAACTAACCACAACAACTCAACATGTGTTCCAATAAGAAGAGGGACCAATATATTTATAAAAACAAATGACATATAAAATAAAATAGAGAGAATATTATTTTTGGAAAATGAAAAAGGACAAAACACATATAAAATTAAAAGACATATAAAAAAAAATGTTGCTTTAACTCTCAAACATAAAAAGTAACATATGTTATTAAAAACTTTAATAAAAAGTACTATAATTTACAATAAATAATAACTTAAAATATCTACAAGATAAAAAAAAAAAAAAGACTAATTTTTGTACTGCTTCTGTCACATAAATTAGGATTGGGATGATTTTAAAATTTTAATTTTGGTTATACATTATAAAATAGCCCAAAAATTGAATGATATATTTTTTTTTAAAATAACCGAATGAGTCATCCTATCGATAACCCTAATGTTACTTCTACTCTGTTTATTTTTAC